CCATTTTGGTGGAGACTGAAGCAATGCAAAAGTCGCTACCAAAACCGTTCAAGTTTTTCAGGTTTTGGACTGCTCATCCTAAATTTGATCAGTTGCTGAAGGAGGCATGGGAGTCTGGAGTGTCTGGTCCTCCTATGATCAGGGTTTACAAGAAGCTTCGAATTCTGAAGAAATCACTTAGACAGCTCAACAGGGAAGAGTACTCGGAGTTAAGGGACAGGGTTAAGCAGAAGGAAATGGAATTGGATGAGGTACAGGGTATTGCTCTACATAACCCTTCCAGTGACATTTTTGAAAAAGAGGCTGGATTAGCTAAAGACTTTAGCATGTTGCTTCAGGCTGAGGAATCTTTCTTAAGACTCAAGTCTAGAGAGATCTGGCTTAAGAAGGGAGATTCTAATTCTCCATTCTTTCATCGCTCCTTGAAAACAAGACAGAGGCGTAATACCATTACTATGCTGAAGGATGAAAATGGAAATAAGGTAACTGACTTGAAGCAGATGGGGGAAGTTGCAGAAGGTTTTTACAAAAAATTGTTGGGACAGAAGGATGAGGAGGTGAAAGCAGAGTCTGATGAGTTCTATACTGAGTTAATCAGAAAGAGAGTTCCAATAGAGAATGGTCTTTGTGCACCTGTTACCTCTGAAGAAATCAAAACGGTGGTCTTTGGAATGAATGGGGACAAGAGCCCTGGGCCAGATGGATACTCAGCAGCCTTTTTTCAATATGCTTGGCCGGTTATAGGAGACGAGGTAACTCTTGCTGTTAAGTCTTGTTTTCTTGAAAGTAGAATGCCAAGGGAGGTGAATGCAACTATCTTAGCCTTGATCCCTAAGATACAGAATCCTGATGAAATGCGTTTCTTTAGGCCAATCTCGTGTTGCAACACAATTTATAAGATTATTGCAAAAATTGTGGCCAATAGACTTAGAACTCAACTTCCTCATTTGATTAGTCTGAATCAGACAGCCTTTATACAAGGAAGATCCATTGGGGATAATATCTTATTGGCCCATGAACTAGTGCATAAGTATGCACAAAAGAATGTTTCTCCAAGGTGTGCCCTGAAAATTGATTTAATGAAGGCATTCGATTCAGTTGATTGGGACTTTATTTTCTCAGTTTTACAGCACATGGGTTTCCCTGATCAGTTTATATGCTGGATTAAAATGTGTGTTGGAACCCCAATGCTTAGTGTAGGGTTGAATGGGGGACTAGTTGGGTATTTCTCTGCAAGTAAAGGGTTGAGGCAGGGGTGCCCATTATCACCCTATCTTTTTGTGATTGCCATGGAAATCTTTACATGTCTGATTGATAGAGAGGCTAAGAAGGGGCATTTCCCTTTCCATCCTATGTGCAAAAAAGTGGGCCTGACCCATCTCTGTTTTGCTGACGATTTGTTAGTGTTTTCGGATGGTTCAAATTATGGTTTTCAGAGACTTAATGAGATTCTAACAAGATTTAGGATGCTGTCTGGTCTGAAAGTGAATCCTAGCAAATGTGAATTATTCTTCGGGGGGATAGCTGGATCTGAGCAGAAGGTTAGGGCAGATAGATATGGGTTTGCACTGGGTAGATTCCCTGTGAGGTATCTTGGGGTCCCTTTGTCCTCTGGAAAGCTTACAGTTGCTGCTTGTAGACCTCTTATCGACAAAATTGTAGCTCGGATCAATAGTTGGAAAACCAAGTTTCTCTCCTATGCTGGTAGAGTTGAATTGGTGAGTTCAGTCCTCTATAGCCTTCATCAATATTGGATGGCGGTTTTTCTCCTTCCCAAAGCAGTTATAAAAGAGGTAGAGAACATATGCAGCTAGGAATGGCAATGGGGCAGGTCCGGGGCGGGTTTCTTGGTACCCAGACCCGCCCCGTGGCAGGGCGGGTCCAGGTCGGGTAATTGACCACGGGTCACGGGTCGGGGCAGGTCGACCCAATGGGTGTGCAATTTATTTGAAAAACATTAGAAATATTCGTTATTTTTATTATAAAACTAAGAAAATAAACAATATTATGACAATTGTAGTTAAATTATTGAAGAAATTGAGGTTTTCACTAATTTACAACTTTATTATAGCTAAAATATGATGCGATTAAAGTAACATTCATAGTAATTTGACTAAGATTTCATGTAATTTAGACAAGAACGGGTCGAGAATGGGGCGGGTCAGGGCAGGTCGGGTCGATGAGACTACCCATGCCCGCCCCGCCCCGCCTACGGGGCGGGTCAGACCCGCCCCAAAACAGGTCAAACAGGTCGGGTAAAACGGGTCAGGTCGAAATTGCCATCCCTATATGCAGCAACTTTCTTTGGGGTGTGGGTCAGAATGGGAGGGTCAGAGCAACAATAGGGTGGAAAAATTTGACTTTTCCAAAGAAGGAGGGAGGTTTAGGTCTGAGAGACCTAAGCACCTGGAACACAGCTTGTATCACAAGATACATCTGGCTCCTTCTTATGCAACATGGATCATTATGGGTGGCTTGGATTAGTTTGTATAAACTGAAAGGTCAGGGACTGTGGGAGTATGGTGGAGGTTCAGGGTCCTGGAATTGGAAAAGAATATTGAAAGCCAGGCATAAGGTTCAGGGGCATTTCCATCAGCATGGGCAGCAGGTGTTTTGGGATCAGGAAAAGATGGAACGATACTCTATCAAGAAGGTTTGGAACACTCTGAGACCTAGAAGACAAGAGGTAGACTGGTATAGAATTTTGTGGCAGGGGGCTTCTATACCGAGGAATAGGTTTATTGCTTGGCTTATTCTTAATCAGGTAATCTCAACCAAGGAGAGGATGATCAAATGGGGCTACTCGGGCAACCTTGGCTGTGTTTTCTGTAATTGCCTTCTTGAAACATGTGACCATCTATTTGCAGAATGTGTCTTTTACAGGGAGTTGAAGTTTAAACTGTATGGGAGAAGATATGCAGTCTCGTCTTCATTGAGCTGTGAGATCAGTTGGGTAAAGCTGAAGTTTGGATCCCAGTCGCCTGAAGCTCAAGCAGGTAGAGCGATGTGGCACAGTTTAATTAGTCAAATTTGGCGAGAGAGGTGTTGCAGGGTTTACACGGGTGTGTGCAGGGACAGAGATGGATTATGCAGGATTATTAGAGAGGAGACTTCTGTGATTTTTGGTAGTCAGGTAGTAGAATTACTTGTATAGGTTATTAAACTCTTTTTCTCCTAACTAGTAAGGATGTTACTAGTACTTTCTTTTTGATGGAATGAGAAGATACCCGATTCATCAAAAAAAAAAAAAATATCTATGATATTTAATACGTCATTTTAAGATAATAGTTTGTCAAAACATATTGAGTCTTAGTGTTAGGCATAATTAGGGTATGAGTACCGTAATTTAAAGTGTTTGGTTTGATTTTCGGTTGAACTTGTATATTTTAGTTTTATAGTGCAAACTCAATTCATACCTATATTTTTTTATATAAATTCTTTTATGTTACAAACTAAATTAATACGCTCAACGTTATGATACAAGTTCAACTTATACCTCGAACCACCAATACTTTAGAATACCGCAGAACATCTCTTCCCTTAGCTGTAACTTGCAGCCGTATGTATTATTCTCTATATGAAAAATAAACGCAATAAACAGAGAGATATTACATTATAAAATAGTGTATTGAGAGAGATGACCCAAAAAAATAATCCTATGAAATTGCTGTGAGGGGTGGCTCTAAATTGTGTTTCAAAAGACCAAACAGCCGAAACTCCTCTCTCTGTTAGATCTTTTATTGTAAGCTGGCCCTTTTCCCTTTGAGCCCAAAATTTTATTCATTTTAAAAAGGGATTTGGTCATATTTTGGTCTTGAAGCCACACAACAAGTAATAAAATATATATATATATATATATATAAACAAATTAGGAGTAAATGCCAAATTAGGGTTTTTATTATCAGGTCCATCAAATGCTGATAATAATTGCAGCCAGCCCTCGCCGTCGTCATCATCCTCCATGCACATACAAAAACCCAAGTTGGATTGACAGGCGCGCGTAAGGACAAGATTTTCGCGGCAACTTGACTTCGTGTGTGATTTGGTTTCATTCATGTATGGTCCATTTTGAACTTTGGAATTGCTATCAAATCAGCCACTTGAACTTTGAATGTTACTGAAATTGAATTCTGTCATCAAAGTAGAATTCAGTGAGGAAATCATGATTTAGTATGATATGCCGATACAAATAAAAATATAATAGTTTTTTTTATAGATTTAAAATAGGGTATTTGCCTATTTGGAGAAGCTTGAGGGAGAGGCTAAAACATAGAACTAGGCTTTTAGAAAAAACCCAGACATGTTAGTTCTCGATACTAGAATCTAGCTATTTTATTAAAAAAGCATAACACAAGATGAATCTAGCTGTGGTTATTTCAATAATCTCTAAACTTAGTGACACATTTGTTATATAATTTTTTTTTCATAATTGAGTGAATTGCTATGAATTAGTTAAATTAAGCGATTGAAAGAGTGTATAGACAAAGGAAAAAAAAAAAGGATAAAAGAAAACCACATGCAACAAATATATCGATCAACAAAATCAATCCTTACTGTTAAACGGTAACTATTATATAAGGAGATGTGACTATAAACTTTCCTAATCTCTTTGTGTTAAAAATTTTACTATGTGCCACCAAACATGTTACAAACAGAAAACTGATTTCAAGTTTTTTTTTTTTTTTACAAATTCTTTAATTTCGTTCCAACCATATAGTCCAAAATAACACATATAACATGTACATTTTAAACACTAAAGTGAGCACAGAAAATTGAACCAGCAACGAGCAACCCTCTTAATTAAGGTAACATCCTCTTGCCTACATTACCAATCAGCCATTCAAGGATTTTGTTCAAATACAAAAATTCAGTGACAAGAACGTTAGTGACTAAATATTTAAGTGACCTAGAGTGAAATTCGCCAAATTTCGTTAAAAATAGAGCGTGTTTAGTTTTTCCTTTTCTTTTATTCCTTGGTTTTTTCTTAAAGATTTGATTCGTCAAAAGTGTTTGGCTGGTTGGCTGCTGAGTGAAAATCTCAAGTGTGAAATTACTAAAGAAAAGGAATTTTCTTGGTTTGCAGGCTAATTTTGGCAGAGAGACCCTTCTCCAGTTCTCCACCATCCAATCGCCTCTGCGCAAAAAGAAGAAAGAAAGAAAATTTTTCTCATATAGAATCTCCACTTCTTGCTGCGCAACGAACTCTCAAGTCCCCAACAGAAACAGAACAAGAAAAAAAAAAAAAAGAGTCTGTTCTTCCTCCGTCTTTCCCCTCTGCTCTTTCTTTCTGTTTTTGGTTTTGGGGCTAACTTCTATTTTGTTGGTTTTCCTGAAATGAAAGCTTCACACTTTCCCTCGCTCTGAAACGAACCCACATCGCCATTTCTTTTCCCGCTCCGGTTCTGGGTTCATCGATCGCCTCAGTCTTGGTTCGTCAACTCTCTCTCCGTTTATCTGTGTTTCGTTTGCGGATGTTTACCTGTTTATTTTTCTTGTTACCTGTCCTGAATTGAAGTGAATTCAACGGCTTGGCAAAAATAATTGAGCTCGGCCTGGAAAATCATTTGCCCTGTTTCATTCAACTGTACATTGCATTCGTATATCTGAGTAGATTCCTGAACTGGGTTTTTGCCAGAAACTCTGATTCGTATATAATTGGAAATCATTGATATGGTGGTTTTACCAATGAAGGCTTCTATTAGCCAGTGATAATGCTTTATCTTATCTTATCACCTCTTTGAAACCTGAGAACTCGGATATATGGTTACATCAATGAAGAGTTGGAATTCATCTAAGCAGTTAGTTAGTAGGTTGATTGATCTATCCAGGATTTGCATTTTCTCTTCCTCCTTGTACCCATCTTTGAGATCTATTGTAGTTTGCCTATTTATAGACTAACTTCATATTGTCCATGAGGTCAATGCTGTTATGAGAGAAAGAGAGATTCTAATTTCCAATCACTTTCTATGGCTTTATATCACAATCTCTGGCTGATCTGTATGGAGAAGTATGTCTGAGCTTTTTTCTTTTGGGTCATTTTCTCCTGCAGGCTTTAATGGACAAAGTCATGGTGTTAGATTGTCATCATTCTCAATACTGCTTCTTGTATTACTTGATATGACTATAAGTTGCGAAAGAGTTCTCATTTAACTTGCTGCTAATGAATGCTCTTGCACTGATTTCTTTCTTGTCCTGCAGTCCTTCATGATGCGAGGATCAAGCGGTATACACACTGAAGGAGAACTGAAGGTAAGTTTTGGCTACCAATGCAATGGCAATGGTTATGAAACCCAAAATCCAGAACCTATCCTCCAAAGGAACAGCAGCTTCTCTTGTCTATCAGGTGCTGCTTTAAGTGCTAATACCACATTGGCCAACACAAACATGTGCAATGGTCTCATAGGTGCAGAGATTCTCCCCAGTTGGGACTCCCCTACTTCCTTCCGAAGGATCCCCTCGTCTTCATCCACTTCCAAGCTCGACATACTGTCATCTTCTCTCCAAAGCACTGGGTCATACTTGAGCTGCAGCCCATCTTCTCCAAGCCAACTTGACTATGAATCCTTGAGTTCACCTTCGAAATGTGAAGGATTTCTGAACACCATGGAAGTTCAAGTGGCTGGTGGAGCTGCTGGTGAAGACAGAGTTCAAGCTGTTTGTTCTGAAGAAAATGGGTGGCTCTTCTGTGCTATCTATGATGGATTCAACGGAAGGGATGCTGCTGATTTTCTGGCCGGTACATTGTATGAAACTATCATATTTCATACTAACTGGCTGGACTGGGATTCGAATCAAGATGTTGTCAAGGCTCCAAATGTATGCCCTAATGCTTTCCTTCAGTGTGGCATTGAAGAGGGGAATGATACTTCTCATGGGACTCAGGATAACCATGATTCGGGAGATTCCTTCAGGCACAAGGTACTCGATAGCTTACAACGTGCGGTTGCCAAGGCTGAGAATGATTTCCTGTACATGGTAGAGCATGAAATGGAGGATAGACCAGATCTCGTCTCGGTGGGTTCTTGTGTGCTGGTTGTTCTTCTTCATGGGAAGGATTTGTATACCTTGAACTTGGGTGATAGCAGAGCTGTGTTGGCCACATATGATGAAGGCCATAATAAGAGACTAAAGGCGATCCAGCTGAGTGATTCCCACACTGTGGATAATGACCTCGAGAGAGCTCGGGTTCTTAGTGAGCATCCTGATGACCCTGCAACTATTGTTGGAGGCAAAGTAAAGGGCAAACTGAAGGTCACTCGAGCTTTTGGAGTTGGTTACTTGAAAACGGTTTGTTCTTTCAATTCCAGCACCAAAGTTTTTCTTTTAACAATGCTCTAGAGCGTTAACAGATTGATTAACTTTCTCTTTCCTCTCAATTGTGCAGAAGAAGCTGAATGATGCTCTGATGGGTATCCTCCGTGTCAGAAACCTAGTAAGCCCGCCGTATGTCTCCACTGAACCATCTTTGAATGTGCACAGAATATCAAAATCGGATCACTTTGTGATAGTAGCAAGCGATGGCCTTTTCGATTTCTTCACCAATGAGGAGGCCGTGGAGCTTGTCCATTCCTTTATGGTGAGCAACCCTTCTGGTGATCCTGCAAAGTTTGTGTTAGAACAGCTAGTCAAGAGAGCTGCTGCATGTGCAGGTAATAAGAATTCTCACTATACCTCTTTCCATTACTTCCATTTTCTTTTTACCCATTTCGGTTTATGAATTCGAATATTTTCCCCATCTACAGGATTTAGCATGGAGGAACTGATGAACATCCCAGCTGGTAGGAGGAGGAAATACCATGATGATGTCACTGTGATTGTGGTCATCCTTGGAACAAACCAGAGAACCTTGAAGGCCTCAACATTTGTATGAGAGGCTTCTGTTGTTCCTTTATGATATCCTGTACATGTTTTAAGGTTTTGACAATCAAAAGCCTCCCAAGATTAGTCTTCTGTAAATAAGTAGGGGAACCTTTCTTGCAGGGTTTTTTATTTATTTTTTCTTTCTCTATGAATGTTTCTTTGGAATAAGAGACCCAGGAAAACCCATTTTTGATCTTTTTGGATGGGAAGTTCTACAGAATTCCCACCTAGAAGGCTATTGCTTTAGGGTTGCTTTTTTGGCCTTTCGGTTTGGTTGATCTTTTATTTGACTGGTTTTCCATTAGCTCTAAGCAGCATCATGAATAGCCGCTTTTTACTCATTATTGAGAATCTTTGCCCCTATCATCCATGGCCAGCCATTGTGGAAACCTAAAACTATCTGCAACCCTTGTTTGAAATAGGACATTGCCAGAAAGTATGTTTATTGTGTTCTCTTTTTCTAGGAGCCATTGTCAATGGGTTCATTCTGGCTTTAGATTCTTTTTCCTTTTTGGTAGAAAGACAGGATGCCTAATTCATTGATCACAATTTGCAGAGGGGCAGATGATAGCTCCTTTTAGCTAGACAATCTGCTTAAGTTTTCCCTCTTACATGTACAAAAATGATTCCTACTTTCCATGATTTCTTCCATTAATTTTCTATCATATATATTGAATTGAAGCTTAGTTGTTCAGTAGTGCTTTTTTATCTTTTATCTTCATTTATCTAACTTTGTTTTTTTTTATAACGAGGAACACCCTCTACGGTCACCACATTTTGTGGTGCCGTAGTCGGGCTAAACCCCGGGACCTCCGCCGGTGGTCCGGGTGATAGCGGGATGCCTCCGGGAACACCATGGTGGGGGTGAGGATCGAACCTGGGACCTTATGGTCACCAGTCCTCCTCCCTTACCACCAAGCTATGTGACCTTTGGCCATTTATCTAACTTTGTTGGTATTATGGATAGATTAGACAAGATGTCAATTAAAGAACAACGTGGATGTTTGGACTTACATGATGGGTTATGGTAGTGACATTATCCTTATCCATTTTACTATACTTAAAACTTACAAGGTTTGATGAAAGTGTATTGCAAATTTGCAATAGTGTTAAGGGTAGGAATCGTAATGGGAGGGTATCTTAATACTCATACACTTTAAGGATAAGTTTGGTTTAGATAGGTTATTATGAAACAAGATATTGATTGAGACATGTTTATTTATTTTCGGTTTAGATTGGCAATTTTGAAATGAGGTATTGGTTGAGACATGTTGATTTGTTTAAATATATGACTCAACAAAATGCACAACAAGTCAGTTGTTTCATTAATAAATCGAGAAACAACAGTTGTGATACAAGAATTGAGAAGGTGACATGAACGATTGAAATTGTTTGAGAGACGAAGAGTCGATGACCATTAATTTATGTAACTGCATTAGGTTGAAGTATGCCACGATAACACTTCAACTATATCTAGTTTGACTAGATTTTATGTTGAAGCTAGAGAAAATTCTCAATAACAAGATGGGTCGATTAGGACAGGGGTGTGCAACGGTTCGATCTAGTCTTGAACCAAGCTTTACCAGGAGTAAGTATGGTACCTACACTTTCGCATTTAGCATAATAGTTAAATTTGTATTCTTTAGTAATGATGTCTTACCTTATCCTCTAGAAGGCATGAGAAATCATAAACATGCTATAAAAACCGAACATGAATAGCGTCTAGACTAGTAGAACCATCAAACCAGTTACAATAGTGGTACGGTTCATTTGATTGGACAATTAGAGATAGACTGAATGATTTTTAACGGTTTGACATTATAAACCAAATGAACCAGCCTGGTTTGACAAGTCCACTGGTTCACTACTTTAATCGTAAATGTTAAGAAAAAATATAATTTAAGGTAAACTAAAACCATCCAAAGAGCAAACTAAATTACTAATTTTTTCTAATTTCTTTTCTTCGCGAGCCTCTTTGTCGAGTTTATGTGGTCCACTATGGATTGACACCCTAATTACTAACTTGAATTTAGTAAAAACAGATTCTCAATGAGTGTTGCCTCATGTTATAACTTTTGATGATGGATGATATCCATTTGAAATTCTTTGTAATTAGTGACAAATACAGTCCTAAACTAGTGTGTTATTTATGTTATAGTGAATGAGAGACTCTATAACCAATGATTCTATAACGGTTAACCGTTAAACCATAATTTACTAACTTTTTCTGATTCCCCATGTCATATGATTATCAAAAAACAACATAAACCAAGTAAGCCATTAAAAATTTGAAATGGGCAATTGGGTTCACAATTTTGGTCATCATACAAGCACAAAAGTTCTCCATCTTCTTCACCAAGAACACATCCATAAAATCCCAAAAAAGGCCCCCACCCCCAAAATCCTATTTGGCCACGGATTACAGAGCCTTAGACTTACATAACAAAGCATCCATTAACATTTTCGTCACTAAAAAGCTGGTCTGGATTTCCAAATGGATACGCTTGCTGCTGATCATGGAGAAAGAAAGGATTTGGGTGGGTAGCATTCACAGCAGCAGGGAAGTAGTAAAACTGTTGTGGATGGTACTGATATGGCGAATGCAGAACCTGATTCGTCGCCATTTGCTGATACCTATCGCCACCGGACGGATCCGAAGAACATGGAGGAACAGAGCTACTAGCAGAGTTAGGATCGACATTGTTGTCCTGCTGAACTTTAATCTCCTTCTTCTCTGCTTTACTTTTACCCTCGTGCAGCGGCGGATCCAGGACATAGCGTAGCACTGGGCCGTATTTCATTAGAAAATTAGATATGGTAAAAAAAATCACAGTTTTATTTTACAATATCAATTGTACACGTCAATCTTTTAAATTTTAATATAGTGAATTCATCAATAATAGAGTTTACATCCACATCAATAGCATACTCTCTTTAAGATAAAATAGTTAACCAATTGGAGAGAAATTCATCGTTCATTTGTTGCACAAATGTCAACACAATCGACTAATCAATTCCTATTTTCAACAACTGCTCAAGTAATTTCTTAAGAGAATAAACCTCATTTTTCTTTTAGTCTTTTACGTTTTAGAATTTTAGGTTTCATTGTTTGCTTTTCTTTATATGATAATTATTGGAGCTAGAATTTTCAGGCTAAATTTAGAGTTGTGATTTGAATATGTTCATCTTAACCATTTTCCTAATTACACACAATTTTATTATAAAATAACACTGTGCCAAATGGGTAAATCGATAAACTCATAAGTACTATACTAGTTCCAGATCCAGGGGAGGGCTGGGCCGGGGCCCGGGGTGGCCACCCCCTGGATCCGCCACTGCCCTCGTGCCGCTTCTTCTCGCCACTGACGCGGTTACCCGGAGAGTCTTTAGCGACGGTTTGGGTTTTTGGCGACGAGTTTTCGGCCGCGGCTGGGATGACCACCGCCTTTGGCTCTTCTTCTTGTTTGGTTCCCCTGTTTTCACTCTGTTTCTGGTTCTCCTTATTCTTCTTCTGACTGCTTTCCCCTTGTTCTTGGTTGGCTTTAGGATTCTTGGGTTCGTTGCTATCACAAATCGAAGCCTTCTTCCCTTTGTTTGAGAGTTTCCTGATCAATGTCTCTCCTTCCACGTTTCCAGTTACAGTGACTCTCTGTTGCTTCATATCAACAGTTACCGTGTATACACCTTATCAAACAAAATATAAATCGTCACGAAAGGTGAAAAAAACTACCCTGCCGCGAGTGGGAGCAAAATAAAAACTGAAAATTTACCGTGGATGGCTAAGAGGATTTTGCAGACTTTTCTCTTGCAACCTTGGCAGTGGACGGAAACTCTCAGCAGCCATGTCTGTGGGGGAAAAAACAACAACAATGGCGATGGTTTTGTATCAATCAATAAAATAGCGACGAAAGAAAAGAAGGGATGAGGTAGTGATTGAGTTACTTTGCAATGGAGTCCAGTTGAAGCTTCTTCGGCTACAGAGGATGTGTTCCTTGCCATAACAAGAAGCACAAAAGAACCCTCCTTTCTCTCTCTCTCACTCTCTAGCAAATAGCTCTGTTTCTGAGAAAAAAATAGAAAGTGGGTGAAGTTAATATAGATAGGGTAAACACTCTGGTTTAAATTCCCTCTGTATCTTTCTTCTGCATTCAGTTGTCCATCACCATTAATGATATTTTTTTTAAACAGGGTGATGTTGGTTAAGTGGTAGCTAGCTTAACCATTCACATCTATCTAGAATCCAAGGGTGGGTTGGGGGAGCCATCAATACACTACCCATTAACACACATAAGGCATAGATCCAAATGTCATTCCAACGCCATCATTCTATTTCAGAGGTTGCATGAATGAATGAATGAACTGGCCGGATTTGGTTTGGTGGGTAGAAGCCTAGAAGGTCATTTACTTCAGCGGTCGATCATCATCATCGTCATCAGTAGTCTCCTTTGAATAGTTAAGGCCCCTTTTGGAGCCAATGAGATAGAGAGGCATGATTGAGAAAGAAGAAGAAGAAGAAGTAGCCTAGGCTCTGCATATTGAGCATTCTTACACCAACAGTTTCTTGGGAACTATGGAAATGTATTAAAAGGGCAAATAGTAAGGGGGAAGAGAGTGAGGAGAAGAGAAGCAAGCAAGCACATTATGGTTGTGGTGCAAAAGATAATATTGGTTGAGCAATAAATGAATGGAAGGTTGAGGAATTCATTCCTCACAAGGGGAAAAGTTAATCTGCTAACTTGAAGATTCGTTAGCAGATACTAACTGATATCCAAAATACATGAACTAGTATCCAAGTACTAAAGCATCTAAAGACCACAGACTAGTATTCAAAGTTTGCTAACTGATATCCACCATGAATCAACTATTATCCCAAATTCACAAAATAATATCTAGACAATACAGAATAGTATCCATATAGCACATAATTAGTATCCAGATAACACATAAGAGTATCCATATTGAATACTAGTTGGTTGTTTGTGGATATTAGTTGGTATCTGCTATCTGGATACTAGTTTGTGATGTTTTGAATACTAGTCTGTGCTATCTAGATACTCAGCAGACTTGGATATTAGTTCATACATTTTGGATGTTAGTTAGTATATACTAACGAATTTTCTAGTTAGCAGAATAACTAGGCCGCCTCTTGTGAGGGATCAAATACCAACCTAGTTATTCTGCTAACTTGAAGATTCGTTAGTATATACTAACTAATATCCAAAATGTACGAACTAATATCAAAGTCTGCTAAGTATCTAGATAGCACAGACTAGTATTCAAAACATCACAAACTAGTATCCAGATAGCAGATACCAACTAATATCCACAATCAACCAACTAATATTCAATATGGATACTCTTATGGGATATCTGGATACTTTTATGTGTTATCTGAATACTAATCATGTGTTGTTTGGATACTATTCTGTATTGTCTAGATATTAGTTTGTGAATTTGGGATAATAGTTGATTCATGGTGGATATCAATTAGCAAACTTTGAATATTAGTTTGTGCTCTCTAGATACTTTAGTACTTGGATATTAGTTCATGTAATTTAAATATCAGTTAGTATCTGCTAACGAATCTTCAAGTTAGCAAATTAACTTTCCCCCATCAAATACATTGCTCCGCGGAGTTATAGTCTTATAATTGCAAAGTAACGACGACAACTATGATTGTACCACAACTCACGATTAGTATTGGGGTAAATGACACATTTGGTCACTGAGATTATTAAATTGTGTCATGTTTAGTCACTAGAAAAATTTAATATCAATTTTGGTCACTCGAATTACCGAAATTGGTCAAATTTAGTCACTCTCCCGTCAGTTTCCGTCCAACTCCATTAATGTAGTTGGACGGAAACTTTTGGGAGAGTGACTAAATGTGACATGTTTCAGTAATACGAGTGACTAAATGTGACATTTTTCAATAATTCGAGTGACCGGAGTTGGACAGAGGCTACAGAAGAGTGACCAAATGTGACCTGTGTCAGTAATTCGAGTGACCAAAATTGATATTAAATTTTTCTAGTGACTAAATATGACACGATTTAGTAATCTCAATGACCAAATGTGTCATTTACCCATTAGTATTGATATCAATTCCCGTATCCTTAGCAAACTAACCAATCCCCCAAGTTGGATGGATTGTCTTAAAGTGGTAAATCTTAGTCCTATGATCAACTCAATCACATTCCGGATATAGTGGATAAACGAATTCAACGGCTAACTACAACTGAATTTGTGAATTTAGCTTTAAGAGAGGGATATAGGCCTCATCAACCCTTGTAAGTAAAACATAACAGATAATAGACGTATTACAAGCTTTTTGCCCCCTCCTGGGCAGATTTTACAACTAAACTATTACATTTGTCTTTGGAGTACTTCAATACATTGCAGCTAGATGGACTCAGAAAAGAAAAGGTTTCTTTCCCAAGGGACTGCAAATGGCTGTTTTAGGCTGAAGTAGGCTCTTCCTTGACAGTTAAGACTTTCGCTTCATCTTCTTGTTTTGCATCTGCCTCCGAGTGGTTCGCCTCTTCAGCTTCATCCCTACCCCCATCCATGGGCTGCAGGTACCCAGTTATGCATCAGGTTCTTAACATTCAAGTTTTTCTACTAATGAAAGGAAGGGAAAAGGAGAGTTTGTATGGACGGACACTTACCCCCAAGTTCTTCATGCTAGAAGAGATGTCATCTTGTTGCTGCTGAAGTGTAGTTCTGAGTTCTTTAAACTCCTGTTGTTTGTTTTTTATTGGGATTCAGATGGAAATTATTACTTGAACAGGTTGTAGTAGCATGTGAGGGGAAATGGTGTGAAGGAGTAATACTAACCAACCGAAGTTGATCCACTTCGTCATTCAACGATTTCTTCACTCCTGTTAATTCCTGAAAAAGCAAGAAGATCCCACCTCAATCCACTAGCATAATCAAATGTAGGAAGCAAGCAATAGGATGCCAGGTTCAAATTGTAACAAAAGGCAATATGAACCATGAAGCAAGCAAGTGAACCCCTTTGATTATTAAGCTACAGAAAGGTAGGAGTGGTGCTGGTTATTGAGACAAAATCTCAACCCTAACACACACCAAATAACTTGGGTCTGCTGAAAGCTAGGAAAAATTGCTTACGAGGGAAAACACTGCACAACCAGCCCAGTTGTTTTAAGCAAAGCTAGTGATCGACAAGTAACACCACGGCCGAGCCGAATGCCAGTCATCCAGATGGAGACACAGCATAAGAACTCGGTAGGAACAGAACGACAAAGAGCTAACACGAATTAGACAATGGAAAAACCCAAGAACATGACATTCAAGCAATAGAAGCACAATGTATCCAACAGATACAAGCAAATGTTAAAGTCCCATAGTGGTCTGCTGCATCATCTACCTCACAACTTCTCTCAATCTCCAAGTTCATCAACTAAACAAACAGAACTGGGTTTAGGAAATAGAGGGAAGGAGGCAATGACTGTTTGTTACCTCACGGTAGATTTTGATCTGAGTGTCTATCTTGGATCTCCAAGAATGCAAGTCCTGAAAACCATAAACACGCCAACAAAACTTCAACAATCAATGTCTATCCCAACTTTCCAAGTCAATCAAAGTCAAAGCCTAATTTCGACTAGAAAATTAAGAACTTCACCTTTTTCAAGCCTTGGATTCTGGTAAGGAGCTCAACCCTCGATTCGTTCAATTCCTACAAACACAACCAGCAACAGCGGAGATTCTTTCTTAATAGTAAATCCAAATCTAGTTTTTTTCCGCTGGCGGCAGCTGCTAAATCAAAACCCTGGCAAATACGTAGGAGGACTCGGAATTCAAAAGGTTGAAGAAGAATGAGAGAGAAAAAAAAATCTCTCACCGCGATCTTGGAGCTCACGGGCGTAAGATTCTCCTTCTTCTGGATGCCGCTCGGAAAGGGGGAAAAGAAACGGAAATGAGAATGTGAGCAGAAAAAGGAAATATACGGAGAATGAGAAAAGGCAGCAGGGGGAGTAGAAAGTAAACCGGAGCGAGAGGAGCGGGCGGCGGAGATGGAGATTGGGCGGTGGCGGAGTCGGAGTCGGCCATTGGCGGAGGCGGGTCGATTTGGAGCTCGGAGATAGAGAGAAAGAGAGAGGAAATGGAAGTGGAGAATTTGAATATGGATGAGGAATTGGGCGCGGGGGAAAGAGTGGGGGGGTTTGGGAGGAAGACAGTAATGGGAGAGAGAAAATGGGGACTGAACTGATCAAAGAAGTTGCAGTCTGCACATAGCCACATACAGACTGAATCTGGAAGAGTGACTCCGCGGTCCTATATTTTTGTTTCTTTCTATTTTTTTTATACTTTTATGTAGTGTTTTTTTATACTGAATTATTTTTGTGATGCGTGCAAACCCAACAAACAAACATCTACAAAAAAAAAAAAAATAGTGGCAGTCGAGATATAATTTGGGGTTTCACTCCCTTAGGCTACCTTCAATAAAGTCTCTATAAATGAGGGAGACTCTATATCTGGAGAAAATTTAGCTTCAATAGAGTCTCTATAAATGGAGGAGTCTCTATATTTGGGGAACTACAAAAGGATCCCCAAATTTGGGGTGGAAATGGGGTTCCCCAAATATAGAGACTCCCCAAAGCCCGCCACGTGGCTTTTCTTTTTCTTTTTAAGATTTTAGGGGTTAATTGGGGTTTAATTAGGAGATTAGTTAGAGATTTAATTAGATCAATCATTTTCAAGTGTTGTGTAAACCCAAATTAGGTTCACAACTTTTCGCAAAAAAAAAATAAATTCGGTCTAGAAATTGGCAAAATACACTTGTGTAGCCAAAACTTTCACCTTTGTGCCACTTATAGCCACATTTGGCGAAATACCACTAATAGCCACTTCCGTCCAATACTTTAACGGTGTTATCTAACAAAGTGACTGGACTAACAGCAATAGTTGATGTGGCATATTTTATTGAGAAATAATGACAGGTGGAAAATCATTAAAATTTTATCCTTTGATTTTAATTAAATTAAATGAAAATTATAAAAAATCATAAATTCATAAAAAAAGAATATAAAAAACAATAATCTCAATCGTCTTCCACCACCTCTTCACCTTCCCATCTTCGAAATCACTGCCGCTCTCGTTCTCTCTAATTCATCATCCCCATCAACGAAGAAATAACAAGTGAATAAATCATCAATCTTTGCAAATCTGACGCCGCCGCCACCTACTCATCCTCCCCTGTCGCTGGTGGAGTGGGCGAAGAAGCCCGCATCACTGCAACTGCTGGCGGAGTAGGAAGACGAATGCGATGGGGCCACGAAAGTAATCGACGGGGAGATGGTGCAGCGGTGTTAATGAGGAATAAGAATGCGATGGGGATTCGACGTTGTGAGTGGAGGCGGAGCCCAGGAGCTTTCGATACACCGCTACCATTGAAATTTAACAAAACCCTAGCAGCCGTCTCTCCCGTTCGAAAATCCTCTTCTCCTACGACAAATCTATTCCCGGCTACATCATCTTCAACATCCAGTTTCACGTCTTGCCTGTTCCCAAATTTTCTAGGGTTATTTCTTCTCGATTGGGAGACCTTGAAGAAATCCAATTGAGGATCTTGTAATCCAAGAAGAGATAGGCATCCCTCCGATCTCGTCCCGGCGACGAGGTTCTGGCATCCCTCCGATCTCCTTCGTTTGTTGTCTGTAGCCACCGTCGGGCTTTGAGCTGATGGTGAGGATGAGGAAGAGGTGAGGGAAGAGGACCAGCCGAAGCTAGCGGCGCCATCAAAGAAGATGAGGGAGAAGATTAAGAGAGATGAGAGAATTTTGATTTTCTTTTTGTTTTTTAAGGTAGATGGGGAAAGTTTTTAATTTTTTTAATAATAAATAAATTATTAAGATGATGTGTCAATTTTTGCTTAGCTGTCGCTGACGTGGTTGATGATTTGGCGCCTCGTCAGCCAACCGTCAAATAAGTTGACGGAGTTATTAACACCGTCATAGTTTCTAACGGAAATGGCTATATTTGGCACGCAACATCTTTCAAAAGTGGCTATTAGTGGTATTTCACCAAATGTGGCTATAAGTGGCACAAAGGTGAAAGTTTTGGCTATGCAAGTGTATTTAGAAATTTAACAAAATTCTATCTAAAAATTTGTATTTAAAAATGATGACGAACTATACAAAAATTAACATGAACAAATTATATTAAGACTTCGATAAGTACATTTTTAAGTAAATGGAAAAATCAAGATCCCCAAATACGGAGATTGAAGCATTGGAGCAAAAGAAGGAAAAATGAGGATCAATCTCCAAATTTGGGGATGAAGGCCCCCAAATTTGGGGTTTTGCATTGGACTTGGCCTTAGCTATAGCAAAGCTAAGTTTAGTAAAAATGTAAGTGGCAGCCTGAACCCCCGCATTCCGATACACGAAGAATTTATGGATCCGCTTGAGCAAGGTCACGACATCCGTACCAACCCTGTCAACGAAGAAAAAGAAAAATGGCAGGAAACCGTAACCAGTCGCTATACACAAGTCCCGATACTTGACACCAGAGGCGGAGCTACATTCAACCTGAGATGGTTTCATGGTCGGAGAATTACGACGATGGTGATGCAGTGCTCCGAATGGGATCCGAGTACCTTGGCTATAATCCATTATCAGACGGTACTTAGAACTTAGAAGTCCTTTCTGGCCATTCTTCTCAATTCACTTAGTTATTATGTTTTAATAGCCACGCCATTTATTTAACATGTCAACTATTAGAGTTGACTGCCACATCCACAATTAACGGAATTGGACGGAAAGTGACCAAACTTGAACTGGTGAACTAGTTTTAGTGACGACGAATTGAATTAAATATTTGTAGTGATCAAACGTGAAATTTTTAGTAAATTCAATGACCAAACTTGTAATTTACCCAAAGGAAATATTGGAGAATGAGAGAAAGGCAGGGAAGGGAGGAAGAAGACAACATCAAGCCTTCGACAGCGACTCCTTACTTTATTTATTAATATAATAATATTATTAATATATTTTATATATCACTTTGCACCCCTTGCTTTTTCTTCCAAACAACAATTTGTACACTTCTTAAATTTGCTCCCCCGCAAATTACCCCTCAATTTGCACCCTCCTCGAATTTGCACTCCTTGTTGCCAAACATAGCGCTAATGTTTTAACCTGAAGGGGCTATTGGGTCTTGGTTTAATGGAGGGAGGAATGGACTTTGACTTCTGATAGAAATGGAATATGGGGGGAATGGTCGTTTGGTGTAGGTAGGTAGGCAGTGGATGGAGAAAACCAGAGACGACAAAGGTATTCGAGGACGGTAGAACGAAAAGAGGATTAGATGAAGTAAAATAAGACAGAGGGGTCGGCAACCAGAACAGTGGAGAGGAATTACATGGATGGATCATGTAACTAGTCAGCGGCCCGGCCAGTTGGCCGGATACAATTGTCAATTGCATACACTACAGTAGCAATTCGTATGCGACATACGTGTTTATTTGTTAGTATAAGAAAATCTAGATTATTAAAATATTCGACACATTCAAATGGATTGATAGCATTAGAAAACCCAAATTATTATAACATTTGAACCCTTCAAAAGGATGAACATCATAGCATTTTCCTACATTCTAAACTACTCATATATTAAAATTTTGTAGAAAATGGAAGACAAACCTCATGTAAAGTAACCGACTCCTAAAACTTTTAAATCACTTGTTTATTTACTCCTCATTTTCATAGATTACTGCATATGTTATTAAGACTTGTTTGTATTTCCTTAACTATGAGTAAAATCATGGAAGAAATACACATGGTGCCACTTAAATTTGGTAATTGGTGAAGTCATACCATCAAATTAAAGTTAATTTAGTGCATCACATACCACTTAAGTCCGATTAAAGTGCATCCGTCCATATTTCCATCCAATTTACTAACGGAAGGAATTAAATATTGGTATGTTTACACCTTGCCACATAATTAGTCCTCCCACACTCTGACGGGGAACGGATTAGGTCAGTAACCTTATGGTAAATAACTATGAGTAACCCGCTCACATCAGCATGACATCAGCATCCTCTCTCTCCTGGAAAGCCTTTAATTTCCCCCTCTTTAATCTTTGACGGACGATTTCTCACTCGTTTTAAGTCGAAATTTGATTTTTTTGCACAGTTAGATCAGATTAATTGTGCTCTTCAAAATGATATCCACTTTGATATATTTTTCGAACAAAAAAATTGAGCCATTTTATACCAGTCTATACCATATGGTATTGACTGGTATTGAAATAAGAGCATACATATGGTTTGAAAAGCGTACCATGGTGGTATGACACAAACCAAAACTGTAGGATGGTTGAATACATGATAGTAGAAGTATATTAATTGTCATTTACGACTTTTAACAGTGTATACCATAAGATACCATAAGATACCACCCCGTACCAGGGTGGTATTGTATGGTATTGCGTGGTATTTTTTTGTCTTGTAATTTGTTCACCCAGAAATTTGTAGATCCAATAGATCATGATGAACTCGTCCCTGCTGTGCAAACGTTTTCAAAAACGAATTAAAAACGAAGAAGATACCATATGGTATGCAGTTGGTACCGAGAGGCCAGAATTTTTTTTTCCTCAAAAAATATTGAAAATTGATCTCATTTTGTAGAGCACGATGAACTCGTTCCATCTGTGCAAAAAAAATTAAAATCCGAGTTAAAACGAAAAAGATATGAGTCAATTAAGAAAGTTAGTGAGAATAAAAATGGTCTTTAATTCTCCATCCTTAGATCTGGATTTTTTAAATAAAAGGTCCAGATTTAGTTATTGATGGGTGCATAACCCATGGTTTTGATTATTGATGGGTGCATAACCCTAACTTTGAACCCTCTGACGGGGAAAAAAATGAACATACTAAAAAGTAAAAAACAAAACAAAATCAATAATCAAAACAAAAAATAGAAAGTGGAACTCTCCCACCAGACCACAATTCTCACATCCTTCGTCTCCCCTAAACCCCGAACTTTGAATTTTGGTGGACAATATACCTTCGATCTCCCTTCGTTCCTACCGGTGGTGACAATCGAGGAGCAAGCTCCCGGCTAGTGGCGCGATCGTAAAGTTAATCCAACCGCCATCATCGCTTCGATTACAACACTGAACTCGACGATTTTGCATCCCCTAAATCCAAAATGGCGGCAAAGAATCAGAGAGCAGTGCGATTTATAAAGGGCGAAGACAATTGCGATTGGGTTTGCTGAACTGTTTCCTGGTTTGGGCACTCAAAATTTCCTCCATGCATTGTG